CATGTAAGGGGTAGGTTGGGGGAGGTTAGGAGGGATGTGGGTGAGGGGAGGGAGAGGGAGAAGGGATTGGCATGTGAAACAAGCTTGTTCCTAAATTGAATTAATAAAAAAAATAAAAATAATGAATGCAAGCCAGGTGTTGGTGGCACATGCTTTAGTCCCAGCACTCAGGAGGCAGAGGCAGGCAGACCTCTGTGAGTTTGAGACCAGCCTGGTCTACAAGAGCTAGTTCCAGGACAGCCTCCAAAGCCACACAGAAACCCTGTCTCAAAAAACCAATAAATAAATAAATAAATAAATAAATAAATAAATAAATAATGCAATAGCATTGGTAGCTTCTACATCGAATCCACTAGAGAATGCTAAACAACCATCACCAAGTTCTGAATATCACTATATTGTCATGCTTATTTCTTTGTCATGGTTACTGACCAAGTATACTGTAAGTCATTACAGAAACTTTTCCTTAATGGCTGTTGACATGGTGGTCATCACACAGAAAGCTGAGTAGCTTCTATAGGTATGGTCTCTCATGCACACAATGGCTTTTGTTTGTTTGTTTCTTTTAAATCATGGACTACCAATAAGAATGAGCATCAAATTATCATTCCATGGATTAAAAATATCACAGTCAATCAAGAGTAATATTCTATGAAAATGGATATTTCAGATGATGATAAATTTGACAAGTACTCCAGGGAGCTTCAGCGGACCAGTAGAGTTTGAAGAAGCCTGTGAGTAGGAGAAAATCCTGTTTTACATCCAGATCAGAAATACATGACTCCAGGAAAAAGTAAACAGGATGCATGTGAAACCTTGTCAGATGGTAGGACTGACTATCTCCTAGATGAGACAGACACTTGTATGCCCCAGAGGTTTCTCTGACTAAGGAAGCTGCTTGTAGACTCTCACTGCTAAGTCTGTCTGCTTTATGACTACCAAACCAGAAACATTTTTTCTCACTTTTTTGTTCCTATTTCTGCACAATGGCCTAAAATCTAAGATCATGCAGACTAGGCCTTCTCTCTTTAGACATCCCATTTCCCATGAGACTGTTACAGATTCCTTTACTGAGTCTGACTACTTTCTTGAATTATGACTCAGAAAACCTAATTTTCTCTACTTATTCCTCCTTCAAAAGCTGCGGATATCTTTAGCTTGCCTATTCTATTGTATTTCTTTGTTTGATTGATTTTTCTCTCCCATATTCTGATACAATCTACCACAAGTTTCTGAGTAATATTTAAATTATTTTATCTATAAGACTACAACCTCGAAAATGGAGCTATGTGTTTCTAGAGACAGTGGATTATAAAACAAATGAAAAAGCTTTTGCTTAAAGTGAGTTTCAGTTCTCTGTATTCATACTATTTATCAGAGAAATTGTTAATTTAGGCATCTTGAAAGGTATCTTTTGCAGGCCAAAAATAGACATCAGATTTCACCATTCAACAATTCAATCCCTGATATTATTTTAAAAATTCTTGAAAGTTTTCTACATGACCTACAATCTCTCCACCCCAACCCCCAATGATGTAAGGCTAATTTTGGGCAGTACATAGAAGAAGGAATTCATAATCAAAATTCTCTTGTACCAATAATATTTTTTTTGTTTTTGTTCCTGACTTCATCAACTTCATTCCCAATTGATACATTTCCTTTTTTCTAATTTTGTAGTTTTAATGCAAGTGAAAATACCTCCAGACCCTAGCTCCTGTTTTGCTAGTAAATTCAAGGATGACTCATTTACTATTGCTATAGTCTGAACTCGCTGTCCAAATTAGATGCACAATAACCTCTGCAATTCTTTTAACTGGCTGAAGAAGGGAAATTTTAGGTAGTAATGCTACCAACAACATCAATGTCTTGTACCATTATGTGTTAATATATTCCCTCTGGAGGGTAGAAATAAAATTTTTTCCAGCATCCTATGGGAAGGATGTTATTAAAGCTCTTGGGCAGGTGAGACTCATGTAGTCAGTCCTCTAACAGGTGAGACAGATATTTCCACATTGTGATTTCAGAGACACAGTATTAAAATTTGTATATTTTGATGTTTCAAGACCCTGTGTGAGTGTATGATTAGAGTATTCTACTAGCCTTTGGAAAGGAATAATTGAATTTAATAGCCTGGTATACTTTTAAGGTTTACTGTTAAGATAAATAAGACATATTCTATTTGGAATAAAGCAATTCTCTAACATCAATGATTTCCTCATAAGAAACAGGTATGTGAAAGACCATCATTATCGTGTGGGAAGAAAAGGGTGCATTTGATATCTTCAAGTTTATGTTTGTTTGTTGAGAAGTTAAATTATAGAAACATTCCCAAATGTTTTCATGAAAAGTCACTATAAACAAGTAGACAGAACAACAACTATTTATGTACACTAAAAACCTAGAATATATTATTCTGCAGTAAAATTTGTAGAGAAGTTAGATACAGAATAATGACCTTAAATAAATTCTAGCAAGTGCAAGCTTTAGTCATGAACGAGTGCAATAAGTAGGTTGACTACTGTACAATATAGTATATTATGAATATTTTTACATGTTTCTAAAATATTGCACATTTTTTGCCTTTAATGGGCACACACCCAAGAAATACTTTAAGAAGCTGACTTATTACTTTGCAGATAAAGTTCAGACAAACCAAAAAAGTGTGGACAGTTAATATCTATGTAATGAAGAAGAAAAAACACCGCTCTGGAAGGGGTGTTCCTGAAATCTCACTAAAGTAGCTAATTCTTCACTAATGCCAGGATTATCAATGCTAACCACATCACATTGTGCCTGTTTTCTGTCTAATAAGTTTCAGAAAGAATTACATAGTAATTCATTAAGAACTGAATGAACCAAATACAGAAAGTATACCTTAAATGTATTGGATTGTGTGAGTTTCTATTCCTCTGTCAATGCAGTGCTCCCAGTGATGATATAACATGAATCATGGGATTAAGTAACATAGTTCAAGAGACTTGAGGAGGGTATTCATGTAACTGTTTAAGTTCTTACAGCCTAAAGAAATTGGGGGCAGTCAGTCCTCCCAAAATATAATAACCTATGCATAGAAGTAAAATTAAGTCTGAGAACCTCTGAAAGACACAAAGCCAGTGTCACTGAATTTACATCAGATGATTCTTTAAGATAGCATTCTGGAGAAGCAGATTCTTCCCATTGCAGGCTCTTCAATGCAATGTAGACCCATGGAAGGAGTCACCAGATACTGATTTCCACCCACCATGATTCTCTGCCTTTTCTGGTTTCCTGTTATTTCAGACCTTCTACATCACCACTAACTCTACATACTGTGTGTTTACTAGTATTTTTAACCAATGTGCCAATCTAAATTTGCTTCATCTTGTTTGAAAAGTTGAGGTAAGTGGCAGTTGTTTCTGGAAGTTATGCTGTGTTCTGGTGCTATTTGTCTTGAAGACATTGAGGTACATTTCAATGCCCAATGAGAACCTGACAACTTGAATTTTTTTACTACTTTTGGATCGGTATGGGGCATATAAGGATTACAGATATAAAAATCAAAGTATAAATAAAAACTAAGATAATTAACATAACCTAGACTAAAACAACAAATCCAAAACAAAAACAGAAATACTCGTAAAACAGTCAAAGGAGAATATGGATTTTTATGATTATCTTTGAATGCTTCTAAGATAAAGGATTCATATTTCCATTGTTAATGTTAAGACAGCCATTCTTATAGAAGTTAGCCTCTCTTTCTATGTTAAACTGTACAGAGCATGGTATCTTCCATTATGAGTCAATTAGGGAACTCACTAAGAATTTTAATGAATCTCACCTTAGTTTCTCCTTCAGTTTGGGCTTTTTTCTTGGCATTATAAATTATGAATGTAGTTGCTATCTACTGCACATGACAGATAAAATTTGTCAATACATTAATTTTCTGAGTGTCTGTATAATCTGAATGACATTCATACTGTTAGATGAATATCAGTGCATTCAGAATATAATAGAGAATATTTCAATTGAAACATCAAGAACATTCTACATAGCAAAAGACACTGGTTTTAGATCTGAGAGCCATGAATACTGAAGATACAAAGATTTCCAAGTCTGTAATTGCACAAAGGAAGCTACATGAAAAGCACAGATTATTTTACCAATAATGCATAAAATTATGAAAAAGTATAAAACTGCTCACTTTAAAATAAACTATAAGTATAATCTTTCTTGCGAGAAATAGATTTTGCTTTAAATATTTCTTCACACAACATAAAAATTAATTTGTTTCTTACAAATGAATCATTTTACATTCTCACCTTCTCATCCACAGACTCATATAGCTATGCTGTTTAGAGAGCAGCAAAGTATCTTTTACTGGTCAAAAGGTAATAATTCCTTTCTTTGTACAGGAAGTTTCTTGATTGAACCATTAAGATAAAAGTAGCATGGATGGGAAAATGACCAAGGTAGGAAGAGAACATTGATTATATTAGTCATTAAATGTTTGATAAAGACACACAATTATTTTCACATTAATGAAATATGAATCTATGATTTTAATTTTTAAAAATATTTTCCTAAATGAGAAAGAAATAAACTACCCTGTAGTAGTTGGCAATGAAAACAAAAGCTATACAATCAATGAAATGTTTAAAATTTACGTAAGTCATGGCTCCCAAATATTTGCCCATGAAACAATAAGATAAGTAATAAAGGAAAATATACATTTCATCATACATTGATTGAGCTGCAAAATTAATCAGAACCATCTTAAAGTCAGTAATTTGTGTGTGAAGAGCACTGTGGAGAAAGTGTCACTCACATCATCTTTTGTGACACTAATATATATTGAAATTGAAGACAGAGTTGAAAAATATTTTAGTAATTCAGATGCAGAATATATTTATGAGAAAGAAATGCATTTTGTTTAAAATTATCTATCACATCATGTATTAAAACTAGTTCGTTTTCTTTTGCAGATGACACTTTTCATACTCTTTCCTTCCCATTCATGAATCATGCAGGTGAATATCAGTGAGACCAGTTTCCTTTTCCTTGGCTTGACACAGGATCCCGGGAGGAGGAACATAGTCATTGCCATTTTCCTGTTCTTTTATACAGGGACATTAGTGGGTAACTTGCTGATCTTCGCTACCATCAAGACAAGCCAGGCTCTTGGGAGTCCCATGTATTTCTTCCTGTCCTACTTGTCCTTGTCTGACACCTGCTTTTCTACAATTTTAGCTCCTAGAAAAATTGTGGATTTCCTGATGAAGGAGGCTGCTGTCTCATTCAGTGAGTGCATAATCCAAGTCTTTACATTTCATTTATTCTGCTCCCTGGAGATCTTCATCCTCATCCTCATGGTTGTTGATTGCTATGCGGCAATTTGTAAGCCTTTTCACTACATGACTATCATGAATCGTCGGGTCTGTGGGATGCTGGTGGCTACAGTCTGTGTAGGATCCTTTATGCATTCTTTATTTATGATATTTCTAGCCTTAACTTTACCCTTCTGTGGTCCCTATGTGACTGATCACTATTTCTGTAACTTGCAGCCACTGTTGAAACTTGCCTGTGCAGACACATATGTGATCAACCTTCTCCTGGTGGTCAATAGTGGGACCCTTTGCACAGTGAGTTTCCTCATGCTCATGATCTCCTATGTCATCATTCTGTATTCCTTGAGAAACCACAGTGCTGAAGCATGGAAAAAAGCCCCATTCCCTTGTGTCTTGTGTCTCCCACATCATAGTAGTAGTCTTGTTTTTTGTACCTTGCATATTTATATATACACGTCCTGCAACCACCTTCCCTATGGACAAGATGATATCAGTGTTTTATACCCTGGAACCACCTTCACTATGGACAAGATGATATTGGTGTTTTATACAATCTTTACACCCTTTCTCAACCCTCTGATTTACACACTGAAGAATGCAGAAGTGAAAATGAAAAATGCCATGAGGAAGCTGTGGAGCAAAATAGTCTCAGGCGATATATAGGAAATCAAAAAGCATATTTATTTTAATAAAGAAAATCTTAGCTGTTAGGTATATGTTTCAAATATGACTATCCTGGGAATGGATCTTTGATTTGTTCTAGAGAATGGGCAAAATGGATGTATCCTAAAGTAAATATCAAGTTATTCTTTTGGGATATATGAACATTTATCTCAGTCATGTTATAGATATTGAACACTATTATTTCCATGTTCAGATCAAACATCTTATATTTAGAGCACTGGAATGTTTATCTTTTCTCAAATAAACTTCTTATTGATTTTTTCTTTCTGATTGTGATCTTGTTTCCTCATGATGCTTTCAATAATGTCTTCTTCAATAAAAGGAATGTAATATATTCACAAATTTATAGAAGTTTTGTTTCAAGGTACACTGTGACTGTGTTGTGTGTGAAGTTATGTATGTGTAAAAGTGTGTTTGTATGCATGTGTGTGATCATATTCCTCCTCTTCACATACTCCTTATTCTTAACACCTAACTAGGGAACATCTTTAACTAATTGCTATTGTGATTGATGCTATGGGTAGAATATATGTGTGAATGTACCTATCTTTCTATCTATCTGCCTATCATCTCTCTCTCTATCTATCTGTAATGATAAATTTATCTGCCTATAACTCTGTATTAATTTTTAATTCAGTTTTGAGATTATGCTCTACAGGATTTCTGTGTATGTATGTATGTGTCTTTTGGTTTTTTTTTTTTGTTGTTGTTGTTGTTTGTTTGTTTGTTTTTGGAGACAGGGTTTATCTGTATACCTTTGGAACCTATAGTGGTACTCGATCTAAAGACAAGGCTGGCCTCGAACTCATAGAGATCTGCCTGCCTCTGCCTCCCCAGTGCTGGGGTTAAAGGTGTGCACCACCAATGCCTGGCTGTATGTGTGTGTCTTTAAACATAGCCTGGAATAATATTATAAAAAGTAGAGAGAACCCACCCTTTGGCAGAGGCCCTCAAATTTAGGAAGATTCCTGATTGAGGCTTTACCAATATTATATTTCTAAAATAATAATTGGACACTTCTGAACTTTTGGGAAACATTTCATCTTGAAATATAAGCATCATAATCACCCTTTTCTAATGGAAAATTACTGTGATTATAGTGTATTATCCTTTGAATTTGAGTTAAATGTGTCTGTGCACCACCAAGTGACTGCAGAATCAAACCTTGGCTTTTTATAAGATCAATGAGTGTTTGTAACTGTTGAAATACCTGTCCAGCCGAGCCACCACTTGAATTTGAAATGTATCTTTTTTAGTATATACATATGCTTTTTTCATTTTTTATTAATTTATTTTTTACATTCCAATCCCACTTCTCCCTCCCTCCATTACTCTCATTCCCTCCACTCCCTTCCTGGTCCCATCTGCTCCTCAGAGATGGTAAGGCCTCCACTAGGAAGTCTACTAAGTCTGTCACATCATCTATTTGAGGCAGGTTCAAGGCACCTCTCTACCCTCCCCCTCCAGGCCCTTTGTCTATGCTGGCCAAAGTATCTCTCCATATAGAATGGGCTCCACTGAGGCCACTAGCAGTGGGTCCAAGATCTAACACTGATGCACAAATTGAAATGTATTTTATAGGACCATGTTTTGAATGTTCTGGATCAGGCTGCATTGCTTCATTGAAGACTTTAGAAACGGTGTTTTGAGGAACCTATTAGAAGTTTGTTATTAGGTTAAGGACATTGAGTTTATAGCCATTCCTGGTTCCATTTCCAAAATTTCTAGCTCTGATACCATGTGAAAAATGCAGGCTCATGTTCCAGACACTAAATATAGAGATGCTTCTACTGTTACACCTTTCTGGCCATGTTGTACTGATGGCTCTCTGAAAATATGAGCTAAAATTAACCACTCCTTTTTAAACATGCTTCTGTCAATATTCTGTCACAATAATAGTAAAAAAATTACTAAACATAATGTATACATGTTCCTAAACCAGATATAAATCTTTTTTTCTTTCATCTTTTTTATTGAAAAATCATTTTGTCTCTCTCTTTTATTTTTTCTTTTGCTTTCTGTACAGACTTCAATGGAATAACATTTCCAGGCTACTTGGTCCTCCACCCTCCTCTCTCCTCCCAAAGCTCTCTTTCAATCATATCAAACCTGCTGCAGCTGGGCCTTCACAAACCAGGAAGGAACAGTATGGATGGGGTCCAATGCCCATCTGCCGTTTCATGGCTTGGGGCCGCACACAGTGCAGGCTTTGTTCTATATCCCCAATCACTGGTATTGGGTTTTTTTTTCCCCAACAATTTTTATTTGAATTAGAAACAGGATTGTTTTACAGGACAATCCCATTACCCTTCTCCCACCCGTCCTCTCCTACCCGCCCCCCCAACTAAAATCTTATCTGTCACATATCTTTTCTGCTCCACCTGGAGGGTGAGGCCTTCCAGAGGGTGTCATCAGAGTCTTTCCTATCCTTTGGGGTAGGGCCTAAGCACACCCAGTGTGTCTTGGCTCAGGGAGTATTCCTCTATATTGAATGGGTCCCAAAGTCCACACATATGCTAGGGATAAATACTAGGCTTCTACAGGAGGTCCCATAGATTTCTGAGGTTTCCTCACAGAAACATGTTCCTTGGGTCTGGATCAATCCCATGCTGGTATTTCAGTATCAGACTGGGGAGCAAGAGTTCCTGGATGTTCAGGTCAGTTGTTTCTGTGGGTTTCACCAGCCTGGTCTGGACCTCTGTGCTCTTCACTGGTTCTTCTCTGCATCTGGGTTCCTGTTCAGTTTGGTGATTAGTTATGGGTGTCTGCTTCTACTTTCACCAGCTGCTGAATGAAGACATATAAGTCAGTCATCAATATCACAATCAGGGGAGGGCATTTAAGGTAGCGTGTTCTCCATTGCTGAGATAGTTAGCTGGTGTCATCTTTGTAGATCACCAGACATTTCCCAAGTGCCTGATTTCTCTGTAAACCAAAAATGTCTCCCTCTACTATGATATCTCCATTCTTGTTATTGTGTATTCTTCACCTGACTCATAATTTCTGCTCCCTCATGTCCTCGGCATCCCTCTTCTTCTCCTCTTCTCATTCTCCTTGCACCCTCCCCCCTCTTCCCCTGCTCCCAATTTGCTCAGCAGATCTTGAACCTCTCCCTTTCTCCAGGGGACCATGTATGTCTCTCTTAAGGACCTCCATGTTCATTAGATTCTTTGGCAGTGTGGATTGTAGGCTGGTAATCCTTACCTTATGTCTAAAATCCGCATATGAGTGAGTACATATCATGTTTGTCTTTTTGCAATTGGGTTACCTCACTCAGAATGGTTTCTTCTAGGTCCATCCATTTTCCTGCAAATTTCAAGATTCCATTGTTTTTTTTCCGCTGAGTAGTACTCCATTGTGTAAATGTACCACAATTTCTCTATCCATTCTTTGGTTGAGGGGCATCTAGGCTGCTTCCAGTTTCTGGCTATTACAAATAGTGCTGCTATGAACATCATTGAACATATGTCCTTGTTTCCTTGGGTATATGCCTAAGAGTGGAATTGCTGGACCTTGTGGTAGACTCATTCCCATTTTTTGAGGAGTCGCCATACTGATTTCCAAAGTAGCTGTACAAGTTGGCACTCCGACCAGCAGTGGAGAAGTGTTCCCCTTTCTCAACATCCTCTCCAACATGAACTGTCATTGGTGTATTGCAGGTCTCAATGTCTGTGCTACTGGTGTAATTCAAGGAAGTGGTCTCAAATGCCAATTCGTTCAAGAGAATCTCCCAACAGTTCTTCTAGAAGATTCAGTGTGGCTGGATTTACGTGTAATTCAAGGAAGTGGTCTCAAATGCCAATTCGTTCAAGGGAATCTCCCAAATTCTCTTCTAGAAGATTCAGTGTGGCTGGATTTATGTTGAGATCTTTGATCCATTTGCACTTAAGTTTTGAGCATGGTGACAGGTATGGATCTATCTGCAATCATCTGCATGTCCAAATCCAGTTGTGCCAGCAACATTTGTTGAAGATGTTCTTTGTTCCATCGTATAAATTTGAATTCTTTGTCAAAAATCAGGTGTTCATAGGTGTGTGGGGTAATATCAGCATTTTCAATTCTATTCCATTGGTCTACCAGTCTATTTTTGTGCCAATACCAAGCTGTTGTCAGGACTATAGCTCTGTAATAGAGCTTGAAGTCAGGGATGGTGATGCCTCCAGAAGTTACTTTATTTTACAGGGATGTTTTGGCTCTCCTGGGTCTTTTCTTTCTCCCTATAAAGTTGAGAATTGTTCTTTCAAGGTCTGTGAAGAATTGTGTTGGAATTTTGATGGGGATTGCATTGAATCTGTAGATTGCTTTTGGCGAGATTGCCATTTTTACTATGTTGATCCTTCAAGACCATCGAGATCTTTCCATTTTCTGGTATCTTATTTAATTTCTTTCTTTAAAGACTCAAAATTTTTATGGTACAGGTCTTTCACATTTTTGGTTAATGTTAGCCCAAGGTATTTTATGTTGTTTGTGGCAATTGTAAAGTGTGATGTTTCTCTCAAGACCATCGAGATCTTTCCATTTTCTGGTATCTTATTTAATTTCTTTCTTTAAAGACTCAAAATTTTTATGGTACAGGTCTTTCACATTTTTGGTTAATGTTAGCCCAAGGTATTTTATGTTGTTTGTGGCAATTGTAAAGTGTGATGTTTCTCTGATTTCTTTCTCCACCAATGTGTCATCCGTGTATAGTAGGGCTATGGATTTTTTTTGAGTTAATCTTGTATCCTGCCACTTTACTGAAGGTGTTTATCAGTTGTAGGAGTTCCATGGTGGAGTTTTTCGGGTCACTAATGTAGACTATCATATCGTCTGCAAATAGTGAGAGTTTGACTTCTTCCTTTCTGATTTGTATTCCCTTGATCTCCTTTTGTTGTCTTATTGCTCTAGCTAGGACTTCAAGGACAATATTGAAGAGGTATGGAGACAGTGGACAGCCTTGTCTTGTCCCTGATTTTAGAGGAATTGGATTGAATTTCTCT